TCTACCATATATATATATATATATATATATATATATATAATGGATACGATATATTTATATGGTGAATGTTGCACCCTGTTCTAAGCTTTGGGTGTTGCAGGCAGGAGGATGGAAGTACCCAGTCTTCACCGGAAGAAGGGACGGGTATGAATCGGATGCGAAGATGGTTGACCTGCCACCACCCTCCATCTCTTGGGATGATGCCCTCTCATATTTCAAGTCTCGCGGTCTCGATGTGCTCGATCTTGGGACTCTCCTAGGTTCGATGGTTGATCTGCCACCACCCTTTTCTTCTTCTTCTTCTTCTTGTTGGTCGTCCAAACTTCTCTATTAGCAGGTGCTCACACCATGGGAGTGACTCACTGCCGGTACGTCCACGACAGGATCTACAACTTCAACGACACAGGACTGCCCGACGACCTGATGGACTGCAGGTTCGCAAGACAACTAGCGAAGACGTGCCCATACAGGTACGCACCGGACCAACCCGATCCGACCGTGTTCCTAAACCCACACTCCGGCGGCAACTTCACCTTCGAGAGCTCCTACTACTCCCGGGTGCTCGACAACCAAGCCGTGCTCGGGATAGATCAGCAGTTCCTCGCATCCAAGGATGGCGTGCGCATCGCCAGCGAGTTCGCTTACGAGTTCGACGACTTCAGCCGCTACTTCGCCCTGGCCATCAGCCGGATGGGCAGCATCGGGGTGTTGACCGGAAGTAAGGGGGAGATAAGGCGTAACTGCAGGTTCACGAATGCTCATTACCCGAAGTCCAAGTGAAGAACCATTTTTGAGACCACCTGTAACTTTAGATCGATGCAGATTGCTGCCACCATTTCTGCCAAGCTTGGGAGCTGTAGTAGCTCGCTCACCAAGTGTTTGAATAAAGCTGGAGATTAAAGTTGTGTGTTGGAAGTTTATTTTGGTCCATTAGCAACAAAACATAATCTATCTCGTAATAAACCGATAGAAAGGGAATTAGAAACAGAGAGTTCGGATCTCGTCTTTCTCACTTATTATTTACAAAAAAGAGAAATTTATCTATAAATATATATAATTCTAAAGCCATTTTTCAGTTTAATTTCAGCACTCTATATATTGTTTAATAAGTTAGTTTCAAATACCATGTGTGCATAATTTCATATAAAATAGAAAATTGTCTGCAATATACATCCAAAATTAGGCGATTCAACAGTAAATTTCTATTTGTACCCTTCCAGTAAACAATAACTGAGAAATTAATAATTTTCCATTAATATGATTTAACTGAATAGGATAAATGAAAATAAAAAAAAAATTCCTTGTGTAATTTTTATTACAACCTCATGTTAGAGCTAATCGCGGTTCCGAAAACACGGGTTCCAGGGAAAATGAAATAGAAACCGGGCCGATTTCATATGGTTCTGCCTCATGTATGAGATATTGTTGTGATTGCAAAGGAACCATATCATCATCCCCTTCGCTGGCTGGATTCTGGCAAGTCCTCATCATGAGAGCACTACACTTGGTCAGCCATGACCCAAAAGCTACGAGTCTTCATCATGTAGTTGATTGAAATGCCTTGCCTTTCTACTGCCCATATTAATCCAAACATTAGGTAGAGAAGCACTACATACTACCAGGTAAGATAAAAGAAGCACTGGTTTTATGTGGTGTCATAATGGAGGAGGATGATGATGATGATACAAGTGCCATGATCAAGAGGAATCTACAACCAATGATGATACATACCTTTAGAACAGGATGGAATGCACTACATACACATGAACTGCAAAGTTCACACACTCCAGTGGAAGTGATGAACCTAAAAGAAGAAAAAAAGATATATTAGTTTGATTAGTGTTTGACAGTGTCATCACCATCTGTTTCTTTTTCCAAAAGCATCTGCCTTTCTTTTGTTGACGACCTATGTCTAGTTTATTAGTCCACAAAGTTTCCTTCTCAGGAAAAATAAATAATAACAGCAGTAGTAGGATTCAGATTCAGATTCAGAAAAAAGAAGATTTATGTAAGATCAAGAGAATTTTAGTATAATCTACACTGACAAAGGTATTTGATTCAAGAATGTTGAAGACCGAAACAACATAACCTTTTTCTTTGTACTTTGAAAAAGTTTGAGTACCCAGCAAAGCTAATGCTGCATGTAAGATAAGCTCAGACATAAATTGCCTCGTATTAGAGAATGATGAACCCTGGACTTTGCATAAATCTTATGTTTCCAATAATGCTGAGATAAATGCCAAAACTGATCTGAGTCTCAAAACTTTGTTTTGGAGACAAAAGGTGGCTGACAAAATACGGATCTTACAAAAGTTTATTATATGCCTCAAAAGGTATGCTTTGTTAATCTAGTTGACAAGGAAATGAAAACGAAACGCCACAATTAGTACACAAGGCAATCAGGAGTTCAGGACACTGTAATGCCATACTCTGATGAGAATTATCAGTTAAAACAAGGTGATCAGCACCTAATGATGTGTCATGTCAATGAACTAATCCTTTTGCAAAGATATTCCAGAGACAGATATACTGATGATTCAAGAACAGTAACAATGAGTATGATGAACCTACGATAGTTAATAACTTCCCTGGAAACTAAACAGGCCATTTGGATGGGGGATCCACCCTTCTTTGTCAAGATTCATGCTTCCTTTATCTTGAGTAGCTTATAAGCAAACATCCTATATTTTGCCTTGTGTTCTCCTCTAAGGCATCCAGATGAACACCTCAGGTTGCATCCTAACCTGCAATGCAAATGAAAAAGAAAAGAATTATAGGTATGAGAGGTGATTTCTGTGACTAAAACTCTTGATAATGTTTAAGATGATACAATTGATGATTGATCAAAGAGAGGCCATTTTATTTGGTTAGGTTGGTCCAGCACACTGATCCTATGTTGTTCTTCTTTTTCTTCAGGAGTTCGTCTACAGGTGTGCAACTTATACAACTTGTCATATTAAAGTTTTCCAGAGTTTGTCCACACCATGTTCATGTCATATTAAAGATATACAAGACCTGAAAACCCACCAATGATTGCAGGCAAAGTATTATAATGGGCATTCAGATGTGTCACCACATGCTCCAAATACAAGGGAAGGATCTAAAACACCTTGGCTTTGAATCTTTGGACCAACTTGACATAGTAAACTTCTATAGGACTCCACTGACATTTATTTGCCTAGTGTCTCAATTCTACTGAAAAAAAGGAAGCAACCTCAACAGTTTCTCAAGTGCCTATAGCTGTCTTCAGAAGGCTTTCTATTGAAGTAAAGTTGGTTTGGGGCCATGAAGTGATTGTTCTCTTCCTCATCAATCCAAAAGAGTGTTATAGAACAACCTGCACTTAGAAAAAGTTGAAAGAGAGAGAGAGGTCAAAAGGACCTTAATCCATGCAAGGAAGAACCAGATGCCAAGCACATTGAATGAGAAAAACCAAGCCAACCTTGCATATATATACATATATATATAGTTCCTTGGCAGAAGAGCAGTTTCTCTATGGTGAAGTGATATTCCAAGCTCAAGCCATATCTCCATCTTCTTCTGCAGCTGAATGATTTTGCTAGTGAAGTAGTTCCTGGAGTGTGCCAAGGTAGAAATGTAAACCTTCCTATATTGATCTACAGTTCTTACTAGAATGGAAACTACATCAAGTTAATTTTCTTTTTTACAAAAATTTCCGAAGATATAGTTCAGTTGATGAGTGAAACTTCAATTGCAGTTCTATAATATCTGCAAATCTACTCAGTGCATGGGTTGAATTAATTGGACTTGACTGTTAACTGTCATAATGGCTGTAAACCATCAGATTTTTATAAGGAGGATGTGAATAGGAAGAAAATTTATTTTCTGATTGGCCTTAAAAGTTGTTTAAAACTGTCAACATTATGTAGTAATCAAGTTTTTTTAGTGTCATCTATTATTCAACTTCTAGGGTTTCTTCATCTAATTTTGGGAGTAGTACATTAACTAGAGTTCTATTAGCTACATATTACCGTGCAAAAATGGTTCTCATCATACTAAAATTTCTTTTCTCCAGAGGTAATGCTTTCGTAGTGGCAGTAGAAATTTAAAAGACTATAACAGGAAAGAAACAATTCAGTTATTGTCTGCATAATGGAATAAATAATGAAACAGCCAAATACTATGAGGTGAATTACATTCATAATCTTAATCGAGGACTGCTTGTGATTGTAAACCTATAACTTCTCAACGTTTTCCTTTGAAGTTTAGTAATAAACAAATATGGTCGTACACTCTTTGAAAGTCTGAACAAGACAATAATTGAAACTTAAAGTTTCCTTTACCCTTTTTCAGAGACTTTGATTTGGAAAGTTACAAGTCTGAAATTGTATTTCTCCATTATCTGTTCTAAGAGGGAACAATTTTTAAAGGGAAAAAGGAGTATTCCAGCTTTGCGTTCTCCTCATTTTAGATGAAGCTCTTTTGATTAACTTGCATGGTGCAGAAAGTGTCTTAGGAAAAGCCCATAAGAACAAGTAAAAAAAAAGGTGAAGATCTATGAAATTTTAGTACAATACATAGTTTGCCAACAGGATGCTAAGGCCAGACAGATGTTCCGTAATGCAATTGATTACAGTACCATAAGAATAAGAAATCTTTCTTCCAGAAAAAGAAAAACTGCTTGATTGGGAGAGGAAAAAAAACTACAAATATGATTCACTTTTGATTTTTCTTTAAGCAATCAAGAAGACTATCATACTAATATAAACTTTCTTTGCAGCCAATTTTAGTTTTCTTTGCAGGTTGCAGAAAACAATTGTTCAAATTATTAATAATATTATCTGAAGATATTGAATAGTACTATCACCCTAAACATCTAAAAGTTTGCTTGTCGCATGCATTTCAGGTATTTCTATGGTTGGACTCGGAATAACAAAGAGATGGGCAAGAAATCAAGTTGGTTTTCTGTTATAAAAAGAGCCTTCACTTCAAGCTCCAGGGATAAATTTGTTGATGCAAGAGTTCAGATCCAAGTAAGTCGATGAACTTAAGGTTTCCTCAGCCAGAATGTCTGGAAGAATTAACTACCTTAATGACTGTTCCGGGAGTTCCACATCTATAAGAGACCCAATAATTGACAATTTGACATGAAGCTGATTATCCATCTCTTGCATGTGATATCCGATACTTGGCAGCCCAAAGATTGCTTCAAGGACAACAAGATTGTAGAGAAATTTCAATCCAACAATTACCAAAACAATATCATGCATTAACAATATGGAACTCTGTTACATCTCTTGGTAACACAAGATAGATAAAGAATGAGGCAGAACTTCAAAAATATACGATATAGGTGAACAGGTATATTCCAATGGATGTTAGATTAATAATTCTATCTGCTGCATGAGGAATTCTGCTGCCATTTTTGCTATACTACTGGATTGCAAGGAAATTCTATTCAATCCACCACAGCGAGCAAATATATTCGTTAATCTTGTTTGATCTCTCAATCATGAAAGTTCATGGTAATGAACTTGATAATACATCTAAAGAAGTCTTTATGAATGTAGGGTTCAGAGAAGAAACTCACAAAGGAGAAGAAAAGGTGGCCTTTTGGAAAATCCAAGCATGGTGAAACCAATTCCTTCATTCCCCTACAGAGAGAACCAAGCAGCATCGAGAAGATCTTGGAAGATGCTGAGAGTGAGCAGCAGCAGCAGGACGGAGTGCACTCAAGGCCCTCCAAGAAGGTTCAACAATCTATACCAGCTGCAAGAAAACAAACAATGATCCCAAACTACGCTCATATTTCAGCAATCAAGATTCAAGCAGCCTATAGAGGTCATCAGGTAAGCTCATCATAGCATTTAATTAACATCAGAACGTAAATGTAGAAGAAATCAAGCAAAAAGCAGTATTGCTCTGCTGTAAAAAATGAGAGTATGATCATAAGAACTCGTGTCATTTGTTATAGCATCCAAATTCCATTTGCATGTACGAATTTAAACAACAAGCTTATTGACCAAGTCTAGGCATATAACCTCATGTGAGCTTAAGAGAAGATAGCAACACATTCCCTTCCATGAAGCAGGCTCGGCGGAGCTACCACACACTGAAGGGGCTAATGAGACTTCAAAGAGCCATGAGAGGGCAGAATGTGAAGCGCCAGACGATGAACACAATGAGATGCATGCAGATGCTTGTTCGAGTACAGCTGCAGATACGAGCTAATAGGCTGCAGATGATGGAGAGCAGAAGTCTTCAACTCCACAAGACTTCACCAAAGTGTGAGAAGGACACGGAGAGCACCTTCGGCAAGTGGAGTGCTGCTCACCAAGTGAGAAATCACCATGAGTAGGTAATCTAGAAGCAGAGTCTGCTGACTTTGTGTGTGGGTGTCTTGCAGACTGAAGAAGAAGGCCGTGAAGAATGGGATGATAGCGTTCTCACAAGAGATGCTCTGGAAGCAAGGATGCGGAACAAGGTGGAGGCAGTCATCAAGAGGGAGAGGGCATTGGCCTATGCTTACACCCACCAGGTACTCTTCCCTCGCTGGAGTCACAAACTTCCTACTATAACACATTGCTTGCAATAATCCATCAACGTAATCATCAATTTTGGTTCTAATATGCGGAGTTCTAGTAATTCACCATTCCCACAAGGCAATTTTGTTACCTGACAAAGATCATGCAAATTGAAGCTTTGCTTGTTTCTAATTGATCTAAGAGCTCATAATGAATTGTGGTAGCGTCCAGATTGCATGCAACATCAACAGTAATAACAGGTTAGAATCACAGCTCTGACCTCTTTACGGGACTCTTCGCGCAGCTACTGAAGGTGACGCCCAGGTCGGCCGAGGCAATGCTGACCGGCCTCCGCTCCGGCAGCGCACCCTGGTGGTGGACATGGCTCGAGAGCCAACACCCCTCCTCCGACAACCCCGAACCGGCGCCGCCTGTCCGAGCGCCGCGTCCTCAAACGCCGCGCTCGCCGGCCGCCATACGTCCCAGAGCCACACCCGGCCCCCGCCGGCCGCACCGCGGCCACTACACGCGCCTGAGGCCCGCGGACGCCGACGACGCCAGCCTCACGAGCTGCCCGACCTTCGCCGTGCCCAACTACATGGCGCCCACCGCCTCGGCCAAGGCCAAGGTGAGGAACGACCGCGCGTTCGTGTCTGTGCAGGAGCCGAAGAAGAAGCGGTTCTCGTTCGGGTTGGGTCAGAGCATAGGCTCCCTGTTTGCCGGCAAGGAAACCATTAGCGGTGGCGGGTGTTGTGGATCAAAGAGCACGGGAAGACAAGGGAGGCACAGGTCCACGCAGTCTGTGGGCGGCATGAGCGTGGACTCTATTGTGTCGCTGCCTGTGGGAGCTGTTGTCGGCAGGAGGAGCAGCTTCATATAGTTTTGCTGGTTGGGAGTTACGTGATTCCTTCCTTCTGTTCTTGTTGTGATTTCCTACGGCCTTGTTCATGTTTCTGGTGTTCATCTCCTTGTCATTTATGTTGCCTTGTTGCTTGTTTTGGATTGTTTTGTAGTTCTGGTCTTGATTAATCTTCTCAACAAAACAACAAAAACATCTTTTGTTTATGACAGCATGTTTTTGGATTAGAATTTAGATCTTGATGAATTTTCTCAAAAAAAAATTGAAAAAAAGGAGAAAAAGATCCACTGATTTGATCTTGTCTTTACATACAAGGTGTGGTGGATACATGCCTTTCAAGTTATAGCAGATAAGAGATAGGAAACCAAAACAATAGACATCAACTGATCCATAAACAATCGATCACATTGAAACTTATGAATCCTGGTTTCAAGTAGTCTAAGCACTTTGGAAATCACTTTACATACTAGCTGAGTATCAGCTTCAGGATTAAGCACTTTACACACAACAAGTTAAGACTGCAAAAGCTGAGGAAAGTCTCGTTGTTGCCTATATACAGAAGCAAAAAAAACGGTGTCATGCTTCCGACACTTGATTCTCATTAGTCTGAATCACTGATTCTTGTGGCAGCCCTTTCGGTTCGTTGGTATCGGATGGTTGGGATTCATGCTTTGCAGCTGCTTGCACGACACGATCGCGCACAGCGGTTGATGAGGGCGATGTCGGTAGGCCAAACTTGTTCGGCTCTAGTCTTGTGGCTGCCCATGAGAATGCTTGAGCTCCGAGTCGCACTGGAGACAGCAACAACCTGAAATAAAAAGCATACAGGACTTCAAGTTACACTGTCTAGATTGAAACAACAACCAGTTTGGATAACCATCTATGTTCAACTGTTGATTAAGTCAAGCATTAGAAACCATGTAATGCTCACAATACTTGTACTTTATTGTTTGGTAAGGTAACAAAGGCAAGCAGCATTGAGTAAATGAGAATAGGCCTACATCGTACTTAAGCACTGGAGAACAGAAATCTCAAAAAAATGGTTTGGTTAATTGTCAGACTAAACTCTCATAAAGGAAAGAGAGATAAAGTATGCGTAGTATAGCATTCTTCATTGATAGACAAATTTGTTTCCTGTCTATCATTTTATAAGCTAGATTGATATTTTTCATTTGAATTTCATGAATTATCTGCCAGTCCTGATTAGGTTAAAAAAATTAGAGTTCATATTTTTGCGCCCAATTTTTCTTGATGGTAACTAAGAATTAAGGTTAGCATGTATTGAGATATATCAGGCAAGCGACAACATTAAGTTTACCCAACATCTTTCTTCAAATCCTTAGAATCATCATATGAAGCCACCCTTCGATAGAGACTCTACAAAATAAGTAGAAATGACATATGTTAGTGGATAACCAGTGGTTGCGTAATGGTGGGTAATCATAAAGGCATGCAAGAGAATCATACAAACCTAAATAAGAGGGGCATAATAAGTATAAAAATGTTGAAGGGAACAAAAAATTAACAAGAATTAAAGACCAGGAATATAAATAATCCTGTCACTTTAAGGCTTCCGATATTTTAACAAAACAAGTCATAATTCTGCAAAGGTAATCCTACAACCAACTATGCTCATTGAACAATAAAAAAGTGTACCATAAAGAGTGCTCCAACACATCAACTTCATTTTGTTATCATGCTTTAAATGGCCCATTTTAGCCTCATTAGATAAATGTTTCAGTGATAAGAAGTAACTTAAACAAGAAGGCACAAAGACATGAAGAAGCAAGATATATTACATTAATTATATTAGCTGTCTAGCATTTCTAGTTTTGGCATTCAGCATATCTGCATGCTCCTAAAGTTATTGTTCTATGGTGGATATGGCATAAATCCGAATCAACCTGCTTCTGGTAATATCATTAGTAACTGTTTTTATTAAATGATTTCCATTTGGTGTATCTTCAATTCTATAATTTATATCCAAGAATAAGTCCACAAGCAACATATTGAACAACAAGATTGGTCCTTTGGCAGACACAACACCAATATATAATTGAATCCTATTATAGTTAGCAGTGGATGTGGTTACCAGAAATTATCATCTATCAGAACGGGTATAAAGTTCATATTGCAAATTATTGCAGAAGCGTGAAACCCATTTACAGAAGATGTGGTTAGCAGTGGATGTGGTTGCCAGTATCATCTATCAGAACGGGTATAAAGTTCCTATTGAAAATTATTGCATAAGTGTGAAACCCATTTACAGAAGAATGGTACCTGCCCAAGGCCAATAATACCAATAACTTGCAGTGTCTTCTCCCACTCTGCAACCAAAGTACAAATTAGTTGGAAACATGCTGAAAATGAGAGGTTTTGGTGCCATAATGATTATTTCATATTTAGTATTCTGAAGGTGTGTGATCTTGATAAGAAATCATTAGCCTAACTAGACTACTTTTTCCAATCCTCTGTCTTTTAAGATATGGCTGTATGCACTGACAGATCAACAAGCAAAGATTTTACTCGATATATTTGCTCATATAAAATCACAATACTGTCTCAACAACATTACTCACATTAAAGTACTTCTTATGACAAAAAAGAAGTACAAATATGTATACAATCAGTGACTGTAACTTATTGTTAACAGCTACTGAATGAATGCACTTTAATAGCATGGAAAAGTTTGCGATTGTGAAGGAAATTCAAAGATTGTAGTTATTAGGCTTGAACTTACAAGGAGTTATGAAGTGAATTAAGTAGGCTATTGTTTTAATGACAATAAGTGTGGTTGTTTATCTGATATGATAGTAGAAAATGTGTCTATCTCTTGCTTAGTCCAGCTTGGTTTGTCCATAGCTGATGTTAAAGATATCTCCGGGATCAGAAAGCAAAGTGGTTATCACAAATTACCTTTTATCTCATTCTAAATGATGCTTACCTAGCAGAGCGTAGATGGCTGCAGAAATGCCCTGGCCATATACACACAAAAAAGAAATCAGTAATCTAATTAAGTGGTCCAAAACTAAAGCATTTAATTTGAAAGTAAAATTGTCTGATGGAGCATGTTGAATACATATTAAATAAATTGACTCAAAATTGATCATGCAAAATTGGTACTAGAACAGCTAGGAATTTGGAAGGCTTAATCGTTAAAAGGAGAGGTATCAACCATCTTACCACGACATATCCAATAACAAGTGTTGGGGTAGGCTTAATATCTTCAATGATTGCCTCAGCTTCCTGCACACATTCTAAATGAAATGTGTGAGTACATGCAGAAACCAAGTTTTCATCAAAGCTATCTCCATGATTATGAATGATGCCACATTTATAATTATTTCGGGAAAAAGAACTTCCGTCTAACATTTGTTGATAAAAAGGGAATTCATCCACCAATATTAATAAGTAGGATCATTAATTTTAACTCAAGCCATAAGATACAGATTTTTAAAGAACTAAAATTCTGATTCTTTGGAAAGTTTTCAGAAGGAAAGAGTTAAGAAAGATCCAGATTTAGTGAAGCGCAAAGATGAATAATGATGCAAGTCCTAATGAATTTTGTCATACCTCATTCAGTAATGTCAATGCGGTCTCAGGTTTTAGCTCTTTAATGCGGAGACCATTTTTGACCCAAGATTGGAAGCCACCTTGAACCAAGTAAGGATTCTATTTCCAGGTGTGTCAGTTACACAAGGTCATTGCATTAGATTGTAATCACTGGACAATGAAAACACTTTTGAGACAAATTGTTTAGTGCTTGCCTTTACACCAAGTTTCTTCAAGGATCTAGCAATGGCTTTAGAATGACCACCATTAGCATCCATAACAATGACCTTTGACCCATTCTACACATTTGAGGAAAACAAGAACCACACTGAATATCTATGACGTAGAAAGGGAAATTTGATGCTGTAACTACTTGTCACTAAAAGGTACAGTACTTTTATAATTTTCAAGCTGCGGATGACAGCTGCAATTAAAGAATAATCGACTTCTCTCCCACCCTTTAGCAGTTTCCTTACTGAACCATCAATCTGATAAAGAAGTAAAATCATACTATAACAATGAGTGAAGCTTTAATTGCCCTTAAAGAAAAATGAAAAGAAAGAACTGCCGACATACCTCAGGAAGGACCACACTTGCATATTTAGATCTAGCACCTCTTCGCAAATCAGGAACACCATCTCGCTCCCTTAGATCCTACATGAACCATATAACTGTAACCAAGCATACATTCGCTATATACTCTATATTATTCCTTCTATACCTCACACAAAATCAAAAGTTCCATATACCTCTGAATCATTGTGTCTGAAAAAGGTTTTACAGATTTTGATCCATGGAGAGAAATTTACGGCACTTTCTATCATGGGGAAAATAAAATAAAAAATAACAAGAAGTATTGTAGAATCCAGTATACAACAACTAATATAGACTGCTTAAGTCTAGCAGGAACAGAAGAAAAGAAAAGGCTTGTGAAATTTACAGTCTCTTGCCTCAGGCCGGACATCAATAAGTACAGCATCCTGTTCATCTTTCAGAAGCATAAAAGTTGTTTCAGGAGTCAAATCACCAGAGTATCCACCATATTTGGAAAACCAGTAAGATGTTCTGCAGATAAATTGGAGATAAATTTTTTAACTGATCAAGAATTATATGAGATCCATGGAAGGAAAACGATAAAAAGAAATTTTGCAGTTACCCTATAGCAGCCGAGCTGCCAAAGAAAAGTACAAACTGGACAATTGGATCAGTAGGATCCAAACCAAGAATTTTCTCGAACCCTTCAATAATGGCATACACCTGCATCATGGCATGCAGTGTTCACACTGTTGGACATTATACATGCACACTTATGGAAAGGAATCTGGAAAGTGGTAAAATGTTGATCCACCAGTATACCTTCTGAAAGGCAGCTCCAACCGGCTCTATAATTTGAATAGCTTTCTCCTCAGACAAGTCAAGTGACTCCTTAATATTTGGTGGAAGCAATGACTTTGCTGATCCATAAGAATATACAAGAAATGATGCTGCATTTCCCAAAGAATCCTCCAGCATAACAATTGCTCGCCTCAGAGTGTCAATAGCTAGACCACCTACTCCATGCACATTTTCCTTAAACATACTAGAGAATCCTGTCAATTTACCACCAGCTTGTTCTTTGGAGTTATACACCGAAGAAAGAGAAGTACTGAACACACTTTCAGTTGATTTTGTGAAGCTTTCAATTGCATCCGTAAAAGACATCTTAAGTGTGTTGTAAGTGCTCTGCACAGCATCTTCAGCTCTTCCTAGTGATGCATCTACAGATTGATTAATTCCAGTTATAAAATTCTCAACATTTTCTTTAAGATCTGAGAATCCATTATTGGTCACATCAGATGTGTCAGAAAGTCGCATTGGAGTACTTGCTGCAATACCTCTTCCAAGTTCAGTGGGCAAAGTTTCAGGCCCAGGTATATCATCGGCAACTGGATATAAACCATATATTTCACTTTCTGAGTAACAACTGCTATCAGGCAAAGTATCCAAGTAGTCATTTGGAAATCCGTGAACTATATCATCAGATTCATTCCGGTAGGGAGAGAGTATGAATGAGTCTAAGGTGCCTGATCCCTGAGGTCTTTCCACAACTAGTGAATGCATATATTTAGTAGCATGTGTTTTGAGTGACTTATCACTAGCATAAGTACCATCTTGGATGTAGAAAAGTAGCTCATCTTTAAAGATGTGCCTATCATCTATAACCTTCCGAAGAGGAAAAAAAGCCTTTGCACCTGCATGGAGAGATGCCTGCAGACAAAGTTTCTCAACTTTCAAACCGAAGTGTTTGCTTGTTGCCCGCTACTTTTGGATAGCACAAAAGTTACCAGTTTATAATAGAAATCTTTAGGAGCAAATGGTATCCAATGTAAGTAGAAAATCTTCGTTCTCACATTTATGTTCATTGAATCATTTGAGCATATACATGTACATCCAATTTGATTGGTTGCATATAACGTGCACCAAAGCAATTTTAGCAAGTGCTATCAAGCATAAGAAGTATGAACTTTTAATCAGGCATATGAAAAAAGTACTCTTGGTCTACATGGTAAGACAAAAATTGTGTGTTTAGTGGAATCCACATCAGTGGAAAGGGTATTACCACATTGGAACTGAATGCGATCAGACAAATGCTAATATTCATACGTTGCAGAGACTTGTGAATGTGCATCGATCAATACCACAGTGCGAGGTTAAAATGATCACAAGAGCAGGCAGATTTTACAGATTTCATGAATGCTGTCATCGCCCGAAAAACCTACACATAAAACATTGGACTTAAGGAAGCTTTATGACAGTGGCAAACATCTTTATGCCGTCCCATAATACCTATGGCTTTGATCGACTTATACAACGGATAAAATTGCGATTTTTCTTCATGCGCTCAACGTGTTTTCATCAGAGAAATGTAAAGAAATTTAGCACGGAAAAGGACACCGATCACCTGTGCATGAGAAGAACAAGTAGCTGCAGCCGAGCAAATGGACAGCATCACAGTCAGTCTTCTCTTTCCCTTTCCTTCTCTCTTCCGGTCTGGCCAAATCCCCAAAGGCGCTTCTGTAGCTTTAGAGAATCTGGCTTGGAGCTGCGGCGAGGGGATGGGGGGAGAGGGATGATTTTGTGACGATGCGGCGTCGCGGGATTAGCCAATCGAATGGTACGAGACCGACACGGTGGAGAGGCGGATGAGGTGCGTGTCGCGGAGGGCGGATTGGAGGCTCGTGTGGTTCTTGGTGTCCACAGGGCGGTCATCGCGGGTCCCACTCGATCGGCACTGGTGGGTGCGAGGCTCTCGGGTGCCCTTTTTTTTATGGTGCTAGTTTTTTTCCTCATTAATTAACCCCAAAAAAGAATTATTACTAATTTTAGTGCATTAATAATAATAATAATAATAATAATGTGGGACTCTAAAGATAATCTAATTTATAATTTAATTTTTGGATACAACAAATTCGATCATATACTATATGATTCTGTTGGGTATTTTTCATAATACGGACTAATCATGTGATGGCGTTTTTGTGAGAAGGAGCCGTCATCATAAATGTTGTGATTTAAAGCGGGTTTGAGCTGTTGGCGGATCAAGATCCGCGGAACGCAAACCCGACCCGCTTTATAAGCCGAGCTGCGATTACTTACGTGACCACAGAACGGAAAGCCCTTCGCTTCTCGCGTCGCGTGCCCTGCAAACAACGTCCACGCAGGAACGCAGGAAGAACAGCGATGTGGAGATCCAAAGGTAGGAAAACTGTCAGACAAAATTATGGGACAAGTAACTTTTGCAATGTTTAACATTCTCGATGTTTCTTGGTTCTTAAGAAATGTAGCAAATAATGTTAGAAGTGTACAAGAATTGAACCACCATCAAATGGTTTGTCTTATCGGTTTGAAAGCCGAGCAAAAACATTTGTGCATATATTCACACGGTTTATTACGACTATTAGCTTCACTTCAAGGTTTGATCACATAATTGTGACCGATCAATCTTTGTCAACTGTAAGCTCAATGCAAGTTCCATATGTTGGTGCTCTCCACTGTACAAGTTGTTGTTGGATTGAGGAGCTGCTTCCTCACTCCAGTGGCTTATAAACCTCACGCCTGGGCTGCAAAGGTCTTGAGCTCAAAGAGAAGCTGAATCGCTGATACACCATAGTGGAAACTGGTGAATCTGATGTACTAATTACAGTCTAATCTGAAATAATAGAGTAATTTCTTTTAACACAGATATTGAGCTCTAAATTGGTAATGAAATCTCACCTTGTTCGCAAGACGAAAATTAATTAGGCTGCCATGTGGTCAATGTTCTCATGCTGGAAGATATGCATCTCGTGAATGACTGTTGGTCAGGTACGTCGCAGGGTTCATGTAATAGTTATCACTGGGTAGCCAGTTCTTGAAACTTTTGAACTGGTAGCTACGGAAGCAAATTACTGTCTCCATCTACGGAATCAAATTACTGTCTCCATAATGCTCTCAAGGTTGAGAAGTGTATCCTGAATCTTGGCTACATTTTGTTATAAGATCATAGTTGATGGAAGCCAGTTGCGACAAGTTCTGGTCATGGTTTACAGAGTTACATAGTAAGATTATATTTCGAACCGAAATTTATATATAATCAAAATTAGCTTGTTTCAACGAATTTTCTACCTTAAAAGAAAAATTACTGAAGGAATACTTCACCGAGAGCGTGGGCCCGAAGTCTGCCATACTGCCACATTCATCTCCCTGTCCAAAGAAAATTTCAACGAAGGATGAGAGCTCAAAGAATAACAACATTCTTGAAATCAAGTAGAAAAGATGTCTGTTCTTTACATCTTCATCCAGGTCAGAGCTGTGAGCACTACTGTAGCAGCTCATACTGTCTGTATCAGTCATATCATCATATTCATGAGACTCCGTATAAAGTTGTTCATCAACTGCATTCCATGGAAGTCGGCTGGCAAAATAGCTTGTGTCATCATCACCTTCGGTTGATGGAATGAATGCTGCCTGTGGCAAAGAAAACACTCTTTCATTATGCTTGTTTGTATTGCGAGAGCTGAAAATTTGAATAACTAGGCTCAATCTTGTAACCTTCTGCCTAGCAAGCATATCCCAGTTGATGCTTTTGAAGAAAGGATGAGATTTCACCTGTCCTAGGGATCAAAATTGTGTCAGGCCATACTGATCTAGCACAAGTTGTTCATAAGCTAGATGAGATTTACCTCACCAGCCCCAGTTGCTCCAAGTCTTTGGACTGGGTTCCTAATTAGCAATCTGAATCCAATGAAAAATGAGTTTGAATAGTAGTTTTAGTTTTAAAATTCTTCAAATTCGTGGAAAGACATCTTACAGAGATAAAAGCTCAGTAAATCAAGAAATTGTAGTAAAATGTGAAAGTGCAGGAATAAGCTTTATTGGTTTAGAGATAGCAACATGCACATATGGAATACAAGATGAATGAACTAAGTTATGCCAGGGAACTAACCATTTTAAAATTTTGGTAGAAGATGAATATAAAATTGTCTCCAATCATCAGTGTGGTTGAACTGCGCTTGGTTTATATGCATCCTTAAGGTCATTAATGTAACTACAGGTATGCATGCATCAGATAAGGTTGCATTATATGCATCCTTAAGGTCATTAATGTAACTACAGGTATACATGCATCAGATAAGGTTGCATCTGTGATGCTGAACTTTGTGGAAGCTATGGTATGATACTTTTATATATCAAGGTATGACTTCAAATGAGACATAAGATAGCCTTCAATGACATTTTTATTTGCTTAACTTGCCAAATGATTCTGATGATCACCCTCCATGTAAGCATTTTAATAACAAAATCAGATACATTTCCCACCGTGCTTGGTAGCAATGGTAACAGCTCCACATTTGCTCATTCAAGATCTTATATTTGAATTTGGAGTTTAAGATGTTCACCTTGACATGTTTTGATGATCGAATATTTCTTTCTAAATGTATTATTACATCTCAAATACTGAATAGGATGTTTACCTAGAAGTAGACCCTATATAGTGGTATAGAATCAAGATACCATTGTTGACAATGCCAGGTACATATTTCTTTTATCTGACCCTTGGGCATGTGAAGATGGAGCTGGACTACTAGACAGAATTGAAACTGTCTCTTTGTTCAAGGTTTTCAGTTCTTGCTGATCAGATTTTTGTTCATTCTAATCCAACTGGTCTAGCACTTATCTTCTTGGATTTGAAACTTCTAATGACGAAATAAGAACTGCATGGCTAGCTTCCTGAAAATAAAATCCACTTATTGCACTCCATGTGATTCTTGGATAATAAGTTGTACATAGCTTTGAAAATTCAACGATGTTATATGCTCTAACAATATGAATGCTATACGAACAAGTTGATAAACTGAAAATAATTGTTTGACCTTCCTATGAATTTGTTGAAGCAGTACGTGGCCATGGCCACCAGCTAAGCGACTACTATAGTTTATTATTTTCTTTTTCCTCACACTGTTTGACAATTCATTTGGTGCAGAAAATAATTTTAAACAAGGTGCACGAAGGTAATACTTATTTAGGACATCAAAGAAGAATTCATAAAAAAGACAAAAATAACTGAAAGTAAAAGAAAAAAGATGACTCTCAGATGTTACTTGTCAACCAAATCATAAGCCTCCAAGCTCATCTCTTCTGGCACTTGTGGCCAGGGTATATCCCGATTCATAATATTATCAAAAATTTTCTGCAAAAAACAAATGTACATTGTTTGTTACTATAAAAAGTTCAGTAATTAAATGACACTTGTGCTTCAACACTTTCTAGGAGTAAAATTGATAATGAGGAATTCAGGGATAAGCATAATTGCATGAACTTATATTGCCGCTGGAGCATTCAGCTGAATGTAAAGCACTTTAACATAGGCATTTACGCATGAACTTTGGACTAATACAAAAGATTGTTAACGTTATGTAACAAGAATGACATGTTCAATACTGATTGACCTAGAACCTCATCTAAAAGGGCTAGACCAAAGTTATTATTTAGTTCCTGGGTCCTGCTTGGGATTTAGCACACATCAAATGTGGCTTATGACACATTCCCCTTCCAAATTTTGACTTTCATGCCCAAAAAGGATCCGACCACACAAGACCCTCTACTAATACTTGGGCACGCTGGTAAATATCGCTCTGTACATCTCAGTACTGTATATACAGCATTTCTTGCTATATTTTATCAATTCAAGGAAGGTTGTTGATATTTCCGTGGATTCCACAGTTGCATACCTGTGGATGCTCTGCATTGAATGGGGGGATTCCTACCAGAAGTTCAAAAAGAATAACCCCCACTGACCACCAATCTGCAGTTGGACCTACACTCGAGACATTGTGAATCAACATAGAGAAAATAATGAAATTAGATATAAGAACAAAATAATTGTGCAACTCTTTTTCTTCAAAAAGGAAAAAATGAGGAAGAATGCACGTTTATCATGACAAACCATGTGGCATTCCCAGAAGTATCTCTGGTGCCAAATAATCAGGAGTTCCAACAGCTGACTGTTTCTGCCTTTGTTCTCGTTTTAGTGCTCGTTGTGCTACTGGAAGTGGTTCATCATTACCCAATAGAACAGAACCACTGACATCTGGACCTGTTAAATCATCAGTGCTGTTGATAAGACCAACCTTAGAAAGCCCAAAATCAGTCAACTGCAGCAAAATCAAAAGATATGTGAGCTTAAAAATAATGTTATATATAAATTAAATATATTAGTGGATCAACTTAACTAAGCTTGAAACAAAATAAAAAAGAAGCAAGAAGGTGAAATTGTTCAACTACAATCAGATTTGACTATGCTAGAACTATGCAGAATATTTTACAATTTACATACAAAACCTGGCATATGAAGGCCATATTGGGAAACATCTAAAAGTTCACTCTGACAATAAAATCTACCAGGGTTTCTAATTTCGAATAATATCGCCCAGTACGGGCAATACTTACCGGTATTCAGACCACCCGTTACCGGGTGGAACGCTCAATATCACGTCGTATCGGATGATAGGGGGTATATGGGATGATAACGATCGAAATTTCGATCGTTACTGCCTAACACAGATGTAACAATGCTCCAACGGTAGCCCTTTCTCATGGGTTTTTAAACTTATCTTCTCCCTCATTTCACTCTCACACTCTCTTAAACAACTTCAAACTCATTTTTTCTCATATTTATACTCTTTTAAACTCTACAAAACAATGATTTATGAATTAACAATTCAAATTATTTTTCTATAGACATTTTAATATTTACAGAAGAACAATCCGTAACGGACCGAAATACAAACCTTGCACATGGCTATTCCTCAAAGTCCGAAAAAGATATATGATACTATTCTTACCTAATTTACATTGGTTTTGCTAAACTTATACCATTACTATATTTATTTATAACTTAAAAACCTTATCCCAACTTTTTTTTATTTTCAAGTATTTTTGGATGATTTTATGCCCAAATTAGATGTACCAGGGCGTACCGCTCGGTACACAGTACCGTACTGAGCGAAGCTCGAAACTCCGATATGGTATGAAATTTCAATCCTTGGAATCTACCATCACCATGTGAGAGCATTAGATCGATAGCATTTGACGAGATATAACTTATTTGATATATTTCGAGCAATATATTCTTTTTCACTATCTTGAACTAGCATTTGTGAGATTATTATGAATTTCCATAAATTTAGGATCAGAAAAAGGCTCGACAAGTCAAACAAACTCAACCTACATAATGCAACCAATTTTAATACCCTAATAGACTTATTTTAATTTTCTTAGTGCAACCTAAAAGAAATGGTTTGAAAATGTATCATGTTTATCTAAATTCTAATAGAATTGGGTAAATGTTTCCTCTATTATGGTCAGCTGATGACCAGCCAAAATTATGATGTCATAATAATAAAAACCAAATCATCAGCTGCATTCTAAAGGACAAGAAACAGATGTGTAGCCAATCATCTGCATTCCCTGTTCAGCTATTTTGAGGCAGAACTCAAACGAATGTGTAAAACATACTTGGAAAGTGATTCTCATAACCAGCCACATAAATGAAATGTATTCTCTTCAAAATTCCTTTATCAATGATTTTAAGCAAACATGGGATCTGAATTATACTTGAACCTCGAAAAGTCTGTACCATTGTACTAGCCATTGATGCATGTTAAATTTGCAAAAAAAAAAAAAAAGAGACTTACTTTTCAATTATGTGACACATAAATTACGACATTGACAAGAAATGGCAACTTGCAAGCAAAAGACCAAGGATACTAACCTTGATGTGACCATCCCAAGCAATCAACAAGTTATCTGGCTTAAGATCTCGATGAATTACATTCATAGAATGCAAGTATTCCAATGCAAGAACCTGAAACATCATTTGCTAGAGTTATAACTCTCTTCACTTATGGCCCTCCTCTCTGGTGTAAATGATTGCATAAAATAGATCATATCAGAGATGTCTCATGGGGATTCCTTTACTCACTACTTCAGCTACATATGTACGTGCCATGTCTTCATCCAAACAACCCAAATTTCTTAGCAAAGAGTACAAATCCCCCCCATTAATATACTCCATAACCAGATAAAGATTTTCCCTACATGTGAAGGAATAATAGAAGCGCACCTGTATGTTCACCAATCAAAATTAGATACACATCCTAAAGCAGTTAAAATGCTAAAAGTTTAAAAAAGCTGCTTACCACAAAGGGATTCCGAGTTGATATCAAGATGTTACGTTCAGCTAAAATACTTTTGACTGCATTCTTGCGTATCATATCAGCCTTTTTTAGAACCTAAAATACATGGACAAAAAGTATGTACATCAAGGATGCAGTTTCTTGTACTACAAAACAGGGCTTCAACCATTAGAACACCATAAGAACTGGATATCTTCTAGAAGAGGAAGCATACTTTTTCGTAAGATGTAATGAATAAGGACACTCGCAACTGTCATTATGGAGATATTCTAGTTGAGTGCTATTTGTTTTTCCTCTCTAAATTGAAAAAAAGAAGTATGTAGCATTCCAGTTGTTCCATAACAAGAAATAAAGAAAGATGATGGTACACATAATTTGATCACCTGTTGCTAAAAACTTGGAAGTTTGGGCTTAAGCTTCTAAAAAAATTTTTTGGCAGAACATTCCACCATACGAGTTATTGGATGAGTGTGTTACACTTAGGTTAATCATAAATTATATTGGACTAATTTTGAGGAACCTATGAGCAATATGTGGCCTTCACTAATAGGAATATTAGGGGCTTGAGACAGGAAATTATGACAATCTTATTATAGTCCCACATCTGAGGAATGGACTTATATATAACATCAGTGACTTATTATTCTTAACCTGGATTAAACATTTGAGTATTAAGAGCTAGCATTAAAGATACACATGATAGACTTTACAACAGTTCATTCATAGGATTAGCAGTACAAAAATATTGATATTACAAGGAAAGATAAAATATTTGTTTTCCCTCCTTTATATGGGAACTGAATACAGTTCAGTTCATTTGAAGGCAGAATATATGGGAACTGAAGAATACTAGAATGATTCAGGTTTCACTTGCTGGATATAAGAGAATGCCCTCAAGGATATAAGAGAACTTATAATCACAGCATCATACCAAATGACATAAAGAAAACTTAATAGAACCAGTAAATATTGTGGATAATCTGATGGATTCTAGGATCAAGACAAATATGTTTTGCAATGAATAGACATGGATGTGTAAGAGGTAACAACAATCTTCATCATATTAATGAATCTAGGGGCTGCACTGTTAAGTGGGAGACAGGAATTTGAGACGACTTGCAGTAAATAAGTCCACAGATCTAAAGCAAGAAAACAAATCACTTCTTTCAGTATTCCCTCAAGCCCTAACATGGTAACATAAACAAAACAACTCAACTGAAAAGAATAATATGCTTCATGAACAAACCACCCTAACAAGGACTGTTATTAAAATGTTATAAATCATAATTAAAGAGGCATAACCAGATGAAACTGAAAACTTGCAGATGTAAAGGTTGGACAATATATATAGTCTAATTGAAAGAAAAGTTGCATTTCTGTAGTGTTCATATGATGTCAAGTCAGGTAAAGAAAACAATCTTATTACCTTAATTGCAAAAATGTCACCTGTGACTCTTTTCTTTGCAAGGAAAACCCGTCCAAATGCCCCCCGACTTATTGGTTTTATAATTTCAAAATCCTCAATAGATGTTCGGTCCTTAAACTTTGCACCCAAGGGGTTTGTTCCAGAGATACTGGTTATACCATTTCTTAACGAACCTTCTTCATCTACCATCATATCTGAGACATCTTTATTCCCATCATCTATCTGTCCACATAGATGAATGAACTTCTCCCTGTCAAAGTACCACCATTGGCATAACATTGCATCTATAAATAGAATTTGAAGAACAAAATTGATAATTCAATGTTAAAAACTTTAAATTTTAATTTTAATTCTATTAATTATAAGAAGTGTCTCATCTGAATTAACTCACTGTAGCAGTTTTGTGATCCGTCTTCCAAATGTCTCAACAACAAGGGCATCAACTTTTCTAGTATCAATAACAGCATTTAAGTCTTCTAGATAGGAGCACATTTTCTCGAGCGAGTTGTAATTGTAAGTTTTTATTCTTGCAATGCAGTGCACTATATCTAGAAGGCTTTCTATCTGCCAAAACAGATGATAGAACAGAAGTTAAATAAAAGAAGATACTCAATATATAGTTGAGATAAAGATTAACTTCTAGGAAATCCTCATTAATGAGCTTAAAACAATATATAGTATGATTCTGACAGGAGTAAGAAATGTTATTGCAACATAAGTGGATCAGCTTAAACATATTATTGCAAACTCCCTGTGGATGTTGGAAAAAAATCAAGAATAATCTGCATGGCAACCACTCTATCCAACCATCTATGCTTTGGTTAAAATTCCAAGCCTTATCTTCTGAACAGATCTCTAAAACCATTGTTTGAAGAAACAGGGTTTTGAATTATCAGCATAATACCACTATTATAGATGAGGTGAGATATGGATGGAATGTGGTGCTTTGTTTTCTAACTCCAGTGAATATGCAGGGACTGGGTACATCACAAGCGATAAGCAAGGAAGGATGGTGGCAGCTGGGACCAACACCCACAAGGCCAAAGACCCTTTACAAACCAAATGTTGGGCTATGTGCAACAGCTTTGGAGAGAGAAAAACAGAAAGATATATGTGATACCTTGGTGCAAACGGACACGACAGGAAGGAAAGTACGGGTAATGACTGTTCTGAACCGAAAAAAAGAGGCTAACGTTTTGAGACACTCTCATATCCCTAGATCAGATGATTTTGTTGCCCACAAGCTTGCTAACATGGCAAGAGTTAGTGGGATTTCATACCAGTGGGATCATACTGCTGATTTTGCAAAAAGAGATTATAAGTTAAATATTGGCAGTTCTCTTAAATGTTTCTTTACAATAAAAACAGAAAATAAATAAAATTACTGACAATCACATACACAACCTTCAGTAAACTCACAGGGACATTAGTTCATTCAGAGTTTCAGACAACAATGATCAGAAAGAACAAAAGATGGCAAGAATGAGAAAGACGGAAAAAAACATGTCTTTTAGAAGACAAACAATTGAAGACTTGAGCTTGCAAGAAAGGACCAATTCTACTTAAATGGTTTATGATATTTTCCTACACTTTCTTTTTTATATTTTCCCTTATTTTTGTGGTGATGGTCCACCCAATTATTATTGTGCATGAAAAAAGAAAAGCCGTATTTCCATCTGTAATATCTTATCAGAGAAACTACCAAATCAACTTTTCAAATCTTCCAGAAATCTCAATAGCCTAATGTTAAGTCAGAGGGTTAAGAACTAAGATACCTGCTGAAAGTTTTCATGATCAGCGAATGCTTTGGTTCCAGACAATAACAAATCAAGCTGGCCAGTTCGTGGTGTCATTAGTGGTGATTGTGGGGTCATACTTCCTGATGATAAAGCACTACGTGAATTGCCCAACATTGCAGGTTGTTCATTCAAATTATTTGCAATTAGGTTACCAGCAAATTCTCTATATATGATATCTGCATCAGATGGAGAGGATGAATGATACTGACACTGAGATGGGACTTCTGACCCTTCAGTTAAACATGAAGCACCAACTTTAACAACCCCATGGTGGATTTCTGAAATATCTGATCTCTTTAGCGTGCAGGAGACCAATAACTTCTCGAGTATTTCGGCGACTCTCTCCAACCGCTCATCGATAGTTAAACCTTTTGAATCACATTTATCGGCGACAGTGCATGCTCTAAAATGGCCCTCAGCATATATAGTTGGTATCTCATAATCACATATCCTACATATCATTTTTGGCTTCACATGAGCTGGAATTCGTTGATCTCCAGAATAATCAGCAGAATCTTTCCTCTCAGACAGCTGCCCCGTTGAACTTCCTAGGATTTTAGAACAAAGCTCAGTTGTGTCGAGGCTTTCAGTATCACCATGAGCACCCAATGTAGGTTTACCAATTGGTGGCAATGAATCTAAAACCTTCTTTGAGGGGAATTCATCCTTTTCATCATGGTCCTTCTTCTGATTCTTTTCAGTTGATGATGGAAGCTTCTTCCAGGATGAAATCCTAGCTCTACTGGCAGTTGAATCTGTGCAGTGACCAGTAAAATCTTGGCTAAGATACATATGTTCTTGGAACCTCTTCCTGATCATCCTTTCCTTCATATCTTTAGCACTTGATGAGATCTTGAGGCCACCATCTCCTGATTCAGAATAAAATCCCAGATCACTGAGCTGGTATAGGCCAAGAACATGTTCATTCCCCCCATAACCCCCCTCTTTTTGGAACTGAATCAGCCTAGTGCATCTCGTGAGGATGAAAAGAATCCGGGTGTGTGCTTGCTTGAGCGTGCCCATGGCCAGTTCCTGGCGCTGTTCATCCAGATTCTGGACTATCCCCTCACATTTAGACCATAATTCATCTGGTGACATCTCCGCACACCCCTGACATATCACCAGGAGGTCCTCCAAAGGCATCCGCCAGTCAGGATGCTGAACCGTGGCATTTTCAAGTATGTCCACCAAATCGCCCGCAAATACACCCAACTCTGCGTTAACCTCTTCCTTCAAACGTTTAAATTTCGTTCGAATCACAGTCACTATTTCCTACGAAACAACAACCACAACACACAAAAACATCGAAGAAGACAAATAGGCGTCAAGACCTCGTCTTCGCTAAATCAAAGAGCAGTAGGATGACAATGAACCGGTGCATCACCTCCGGGCTGCTGAGACCTTGAAGTTTGCGGATGGGCATTTGGTGGGTGGTTCCTTTGGAATTCAACTCATGGGAGAAGCTCTTGACGTCGGTGGGGGAACGCTTCCGGCGGCCGCTCGTTGCGCGGATGATGGCGCGGAAGCGCGGGGACTCCATCTCCTTGACGGCGTCGAACTTGACGCGGCGATCACCACCACCCTGTCAGAGGATTTTCGTCAAACACCATGTATGACTGCCAAATGCAAATCACGGAACTCATCGAGCCCGACAAGAAATCTACCCGAACCTTCCAGAATCAAAGAAAATGGGCTCCCTTGCCTCCATGTCGATGCACAGATCGACCTTTCTTTAATGGAGTATTTCGAGCAATTGGAATTGGTCCTAAACGTTTACATCCCCCCTCATCACGAACAGATTATTAAACAAACGGAACAAAAGAACAAACGAATCAAGAAACAACGGTAAGCGGGTCATCGATTGGCTTGAAAAGATAAAGAACTTACCAAACTAAATCAAAGAATGGGCACGAAAAACTACTAAATAAACTGGAGCGGCCATCTCTGGCCTCCATTATTCTATTATTCATTCATTTGTTTATTTTGCTTTTGCTTCCCCTCCATCGGAAGCCCACGGGAAGGCCGCTCGTCTCTGCGTTGGCTGTACCCGCGGTGACAGTTAACTAACGCTAAATCCGCAACAAATTTTGTGGAAGCCTGCAAATAAAAAAGGGACACGTAGTCGGTCTTCCCTAAGCCTGCCTTCTTCCGTTCCCGAGGCTTTTGTTTTGTGTTGCATTATATGATATAATGATCGTTCAGACAACGGAAGAATGGATGTGTAGAACAGTTCCAAATTAAAATCTGCCTTTAAACTGAATAGTTTTGCTCTTCATCCACCAAGGCAGGTCAAGATCTGCTATTCCCAACTCCCTCCTCACCACTTCGATTACAGAGCTTCTCAAGGTTAGCAACGCACTCTTCCATGCCACCGACGTACTTGTCCATGCCCTTCAAGTGCCGCGCCAGGTCCAACCCCATTTTCATCCATTTCCTTGCGGTGGCGACCTGTCGCAGGCGGACGGCGAGCCCTGACTTGTTCCATGCCGTCATTGCGAGCCACTTCCCCTCTTCGACGGGATACTCGCCTTCCTTGAGCCCGAGAACTATCTGATAGGCTTGCCTGTAGACGTCATAGGCTGCGTCATTGTTGCCGCCGTCGTTGCCTCTGGATGCAGCAAGGCAGGCCAGCCTCCGGATGACGATGCTGACCAGATTGTAATCTGGAGAAGGCGATGCAAGGAGGACGGAGAGGGAAGCGTTGAGCGCGAATTCAGCGACTTCTGGGTTGTGCTGCTCGCCCCGACAGGCGGCAAGGCCTAGCTGGAGAAGGTGATGCGCGGTGCACGCTTTAGAAGCAGCGAAGCTCTTCACCAGTTCTAGCTGCTGCGGCCGGGCATCGTCGAGTCTGTCGGTGAGTTGATATGTGCTGTAAGTGTGGAGGAAGAAGAGGTCCGAGTTCTCTGCTTGATGATCTCTGGACTCTTGAGCTGAGGCTGATGAGATCAGGGGTAATATCTGCAGGCATTCAAGAATCGCACATTAAGAATGGACTAATCTTCCTTCAAATGTATGATGAAGCAGTACCTTTCCAGCTCTCTTAAGCATTTCCATGGCCTTCTTCACATCACTATCAGGCATAGGAGCCTTCTTGTGCTCCTCGGCGTTGAGCATGGCACCTACACTGATGATTAAGGACTTGCAAGATATGGCTTGGTTTCCACCATCCTCATCACCAAGTGCGCTGTAGAACTCCGACGCCAACTCGAAGAACTTGGCACAGGATTCATAATTCTTCTCCTTTCCGGACTTTTGCCCCATGTTCCAGGAAATCCCTGCAAACCAATTCAGCTCACGCCGACCAACGGCGCCCTTGCCAAAGAAACACTCCACTCCAAGGTCGACCATTCTGGCCCGAGCGTACTTGGTGTATTTGAGGATCTCCGGCTCGCTGTTTGGGATTCGATGGAGCAGGCTGATAAGATTTCGAAGCACTGCAACTTCAGGCATCGGCAGTTTCTTGCCAGGGGAGTAGAGGTTGAGGAGGACAGACAATGAAGCAATGGCAACAGGGAGGATCTGGCAAGAGATGGCCTCGTGGGTGCAGAGGGTGAGGAATTCCGGGTTGAAGTCGATGCAATCCAGCATGGCTCGCATCTGATTGATTGCTTCCTTCTCATCCTTATTCTGGAGATGGATCTTGAACTGTGTGGCATTCAGAAAAGATGAGCACGGTAAATTTTGATGTAGTGCATGAAGAATCAAGGCCTTTGTCAGTAAGACTATGGGCGATACCTTCAGAAAAGCACACTTGATGTTAGGTTCAAGCTGTGGAAGGAGTGTTTAGATCGTCAGTAGTGGATTCATGATTAGAAGATAAAAAACAAACTGGATCTTTCACTCATTTGACTGGAAAATTTACGGTATGGATAGCGAGACATACCTTTTCGGCTTGTTCGATGAACTCTTGGGCTCGATCAAGCTGTGCAAGGGCGAGATGACAGAGAGAAAGTACTCTGAAGCAGTTTGATCGACGAGATCGGTGCTCCTCGTCACGAGGTACGTAAAGCATCGATTTTTCGAACATCTCGGAGCTTAATTCGTAATCCTTGGATCTAAAATGCTCAGCTCCGCTGTGTTGGTCATTACAAATGACGGAGATTTAGTAAGAAGAGGAAGCTTGTACTGGAACTGCATACGGAAAGAAAGGGATGAGCTCACCAGTTCCAGAGGAGCGCGTGCATTGCGCTCCGTTCCTTTGCTGCTGCAGAACCCTGGAAGAGCTCCACCACCCTCTCATCTGCTGTGAGCTCCGCCACCACCCTCGCCCTCCCTCCGCCACCACCGTCGGCCACCCTTCGCACCACCCTTAGCGTCGCCGCGGCGCTGGAATGGCACCGCCCCGCCAGGCCCAGGAGCACCGCTCTTGCCGCATCTGGTCCTGCCGCCGACAGGTATGCCTCCGCAGCCGAGACGCACGCGGCCTCTGGAACCTCCTTGTTCGCCATCATTCCCATCAGCTCCATCTCCGCCTCCCGCAACCTCCCCGCCCCCAGCCACGCCTTCATCGCCACGTACCCTACGCTCGGGTGTTCCGTGCCTGGCGTTACCGCCACACCGGCCCTCAAAGCCTTGACGCACTTCAGCACCCCCTCGTAGTCCTCCGCCTGCAGCCGCTCTGCAGCCAGAAACCGGAGACACCGTCCCTTCAAGCCCTCCAATCCTAGGTTATCGCCTCCACCGCCGCCGCGGCTTCGTGCGGAGGCGATCCCCTTCTCGCACAGATCCAACGCCTCGGTCAGAAGCTTCGACGCGTCCGATCCCCCCTCCGAGGATTTCTTGGAGAGATCGAGCTTCCCGAACTGAAGGTACTGCTCCGCCAGGTCTCGAAACCCTAATGGTGATCCGAAGATTAGATTCTTGGACCGATTCAAGAGAGCGATCGCGAGATTCCGATCGGCGACCTCCCACGCCGTACGTGCTCTGGCGAGGTTGAGGTCGAGGAGGAGTCTCCTCTCCTCCTCGCCGCCGATCTGCGGGGTACCGTCGACCTGGGCCGTGGAGGCCAGCTCGGTGGCGCGCTCGAAGCACCCGGCGGCGAGATCAAACCGGCCGAGCTCGTGCCAGAGGAGACCGGTCTTGTGGAAGAAGGAGGCGGATTTGAAGCCCGCGGACGGGATTCCCATGGGGACCCCAGCGACGAAGAGGATGTCGGCGGCGACATGGCGGAGCTCGGCTAGTTCGGCCTTCCGATGGGGGACGTCGGCGGGGAGGAGCTCGGCGGCGTTGGAGAGGTCGATGCAGGCGTTCCAGAGGCGGTAGCTCAGCTTCCATAGGTGGAGCTTGGCGGGCTCTGGGAGGGGAGCCGAGGCGGGGAGGCTCAGGCGGGAGATGGAGCGGCGGAGGCGGCCGGCGAGGCTCGACGGGGAGAAGGAGCGGTCATCGGGGTCGAGGGATTCGATTTCCTTGACGGAGGACTCGATGTCGTCCAGGAGGAGGCGGAGGGTGGGCTGGGGGTCGCCGGGAGAGGGGCGGAGGTCCGGCGAGAGCTCCGAGATCTTCATCGCTCGGGCGGGAAAGAATGAGGCGGTGGGTTTCTGTTTGCCGTTCGACGCGACTTAAAAGACGGAAATACCCCCAAACGACAAAGACATTATAAGCATGACGGCAGGATTATTTAGGTAATTTTATTTACGGAAAAAATTCTTTTTGTGGCCTTATTGTTTATGAGCATACCCTTTTTTTAATATAAAAAAATCATCTCAATAATTTAATATGAATATTTATTTTATATTACAAATATAATCAATATATGTGCTAATATGATTATAAATTTACATTTTTATTTATTCATTTCAAAGTGGAAATGAGAAATATATCTATCTATATACTCATCTTTTTTTTTTTTTAGTCGCATCGATCTTCTAAAATGAGAAATATATCTATATACACTTAAATCGGTTTAAGGTCTAAAGGTTAAAGAAAAATAGAATTAGAATCATAAGAAATTCATGTTTATAAAATTTCGAGTGTAATATTTTTAGAATAAAAAATATTTTAAAAAAATATTCTCTCATCAATTTCTAAAGATTACTAATATGATCGATCAAATGGAAACTTTCAGCTCTAATCCTCATAATCACTCCTTGGATTCTCATGATCATATGTTTAGTATTCTACTTTATAACCCCCCAAGTTCATGAATCTTTTAAATCATATTATTGGTTGAAGCATTGAAATAGACTTTGTCGGATACCTTCCCACTCTCACTATAATCTTAATTATTTGATGTTCTCATTCTTAATCAGTCTATAATTTTCTCAAAAAAGAATCATTAAATTTCACTTTATTATGTCTCATATCAAACTAACAAGTGGAGCAAATCAATTTCTACTAAATCAGATTTGGAGATTTATTTTTTCTATATCTACCTACTTCAAGCTTGATTAATAGATATTTTAAATTAACTTAAGTAGATTGTGTCAGTATGGATACTTAAAAAAAATGAAAAAAACTTAAAAGATTTTTATAAAAGATTTTTAATAAATTATCATTTTATTCTTAGCTTCTCATCGAACTCATCTTCGCTCTATGTTGTCGCCCTACACTATTTCCGTCATTACTTTCTCTCTTCTTTTACACCATCAAACTTGTTACGGAAGAGGTCACGACTCTCCTTCCACGAAAATATAGTGACGAGGGTGAGGCCTCCGTCTCTATGAGATTTTATTGGACCTAATGATAAAGACACAATATCTACGGATCCTTTAATTGTGCTTTTGTCGCTAGGACAGATTTAAAAATGGTAAACTATTAATATTAAATTCTTTATAATCACATATAATGAATATTTTCTTTAGATGTTAGGACTCATCGACCAAAGTCTATGTACGGATATATATCATAATCAAATCAATGCAATTACATGAAATTCCCTAATCTCTTTAGCTTTGCTCATTAATTGCATTCGTAGCCAATTTTAGATCTCCAAATCAATCCGAAGGTTATTTGTATTTTTAAAAGATAAGTGGTGAAATTTTTTACCTTTATTTTTTTTTTCTTTCCATAATTCACAATGTTAATTTGCATCCTTCCAAATGCTGCTTATACACAATAATAACAACAACTACATGTGTGCGATATTTAATTTAGAAAATGAGATGCAGTGAACGAGACTTTCGTCGATGTAAAATGGTACAATCTTTCCTATATTTTCTCAAAAAGATTATTTTTGAGGCTTAAATTATTATTCTTATATTCCTTCAAGAGAGAGAGAGAGAGAGAGAGAGAGAGAGTCATGCCAAAGAAATACTGAGTTGACCAATATTCCTCGGCTTTGCCTTTCATGTCGATGTCGAGACAGCCATGTCTTATTGATACCGAGCAGACAAAAGCTTCATCCATGGATGAGTGAAGTGTTCATCCTTTATTACAGTATGTCCATGGGTACAGAGAAGTGAGAAGGAGAACACTACAAGAAGAGAGCTTCACAGGCACGCAGCTCAAGCAACCTCATGCAACCTCCTCCGGTATCTCCCTCTTCCGCTTCGCCTCCTCCACCGTCACCGCCGCAGCCGGAGCGACGTTGGTGCTCGGCTGAGGCGGCGGTGCTTCCGGCCTCCCGTCCACGCAGGCGGCGCACTTCCGCTCGATCCACCCGTGGAGGTCGTAGTGCCCGTACCCGAGTATCGAGAGGCCGGAGCAGAGCCGCCCCACCAGCCCGGCCACCACCGCCAGCGCCACCACCCCCAACACCACCCCGATCACCGGCCCGATCGAGCCGCCCCCGCCGTGCGATCCCGAGGGCTCCGCGTACGCCGGCGGCGGCTGCTCACCGAACGGAAGCGACATGAGCGGTGCCCGACCGAACAGAACCCCAGGAAAGATCGGATTTTTATCGGTTTTCCCGAATTTCTAATGGGAAAACTCCAAGTGATGGTTTCTTCGATGCGGAAACGTCCACAAGATCGGATATTTAATGAGGAATTCCGCAAACGATCCAACCAAGATCGAAACCGACAAAACGATGGACGATCCCAAAGGATCTCTTGCGGTCTTCCGTCGATGTTTAGCTTCAGGACGAAAGGAAAGTAAAGGAATGGGAAGGGGTCTGAAGCAGAGAGGTGCGGCTTCTGGAGACTCCCTTATTCACTGCGGTGCTGCGCGTTGACCGTAGGGACAGCATGATGTCATAAGTTCTATTATTTTAGATGGTTTAATTATTATTAAATACTTAATCTTAATTCAACATAATTCGATCATATCTTACAAACAAGATTGCGACATGAACAGATCATCATAAGAAGAGTTGTTTGGCTTTAAAGTTCATGAAATCTTCGATCATTCGTTCGTACACATGCAATCTAATTCGCACCAGTAATGCATGAGAACATGCGGCTGAACCACCCAAACCTCGTCTGCTTGGCCGAGCGGCCACGTCCGCCGCCAACCCTCTTGGACGAGAAGTCCTCCGGTGAGCGGTGCCTCCTGTGGCGATTCTGCTCCTGATGGAAACTCCCGAGCTTGATCGGCGGCGGCCGGAGGAACCTCTGGGTGTTGGTGTCACCAAACCACTGCGAAGAACCGGTCGAGAGGGACCGGTAGTACTTGCGAGCCTTTCTTCTCTTGATCGCCCTGTAGATGTATGGGATCAGTCCTTCCATTCTTTTCTCTGGTGGAAGTGTCGATGGTTCTGTCAAGCCTCTCATAAAGAGGGAGAAGAAATCTGAGTTGACTTTGGATCCTTCTTGAGTGAATCCCTATGCCGCATTCGCTTGCAGAACAAGAAATTGTTGTCAGGATAAAGATGGAAATCTCCTGTCACCAACTGTCGTTAGAAAAGATCATGAATAAGATTAAACTGTCACATCCTGTCACCAACTGTCACATCAAATATATATACATACATATATATATATATATATATATAAAATTTATTTATTAAATTATATATAAATAATCATATGTTTTATTAAGAAATATGGTGATATTAACTTAAAAATAAATTCAACTAATCTTACTTAAGCATAGAGGAATGTATGCTATTATTGGAATTATCATTGTGAGGTCATTATAAAAATTAAAAATAAAAAAATTACAATAACACTAAAAACCCCTATTGTCAATTGTAAAATAAATATAATCAAAAGTCAATTATCTCACTAGCGTATATCAAATATTCAAAAAAATACTTTTCCAATAAATGGATGAAGAAACTTTATCATACAATATTTGTTTATGTTCTCCTAACAACGAATGAGAATAAACTCATATTGTTTCTCGTCTATTAAAATATGATCATGTTCCTCCCAACAACGAACGGAGAAACTGTCTGTTGTCACGTTTGACGGCTTGCTAATCCCTAAAGGGAATTACCTTACATACTCTCGGTAGGAAAACAATATCTAATACTGATTATGTCTATATCGGGATGAAATAATATATTAAAATATTTCTTATAAATATCATTAATATCAAATAATCTTAATTGATCCTTAATTGACTTGAACTATAGTTCAATCGATCTAATTAAACTCAATTTAATTAGAACCGATATAAATAGATCTTTAATCTTCAAATATAACCCAGTTCAATCACGGTTTAAACCCAAATCAAACAAAATAAAAATAATTGGCTAGACCACATAATATTGGGTTAGGTTGGGTTATGTTTATTGCATATGATTTCTCGTGTTAGATTGAACCGAACAAACCTATAGGCTGGGGCTTGACTTACTAGCAACACTTAGCTTGTTAATTGGGCTTGGCCTGTAGGTTATGATATGACTTATGAGATAAGCATGACCTGTTGTCTGGTCTTGGCCTGTGGACTATGGCCTAGTGTTGGGTTGAGCCTAGCATGTTGGTTGGGCTTGGCTTATTGATCGGCCTAGCCTACTGAATAATTTCAACTCAAATCCTAACCAATTCTTTCAATTTTGAATTACAATGAAATTATAATTAAGCATCTATTCATTAGCAATAAGTTAATGAAATATAATAAATAATAGTAAACTAAATGATAAAACTGCATAAGCAGAAAATAATATTCTTAATAATGTATAAATAGAAAATAATCAAATATTATACATTCATATCATATGTATTTCTACTATTTTTATCTATTAAAAATTTTAGAAATACATATGACATAAATAATTTTAACATGTTTTAATCATAAAATAAAATTCTAAACCTTTAAAATAATAAAAGAAGATTTTAGAAACTTCATATAATATGTTTTAATCTAAAACTAAAATTTTTGATATTTAAAGAAATAAAAAATATTTGAGAACTACATATCATATATTTTAATTCAATAATAAAATTTTAATCATTTAAAGAAAATAAAATAAATATATTTTTCAAGAAAAGCAAAGGAACTTACCTTTTAGGATGTAACTCCTCTTCTCAGGCTTAGCTTATCGAGAATCGAAAAAGATGAATCATTCCCCTTAAATAGGAGGAGGTGAGTCATTCATATAAGGATTTTTTTAATTTTTATATATTTATTAAATATTTATATTTATTTAATTTACTAACAAAAAGATATCACCCTACTTGAAATGTTATATAATTATTTCCTAAATCTCATTAGCAAAAATAAAAAATAAAAAATTATGCCTAAATTAGGGATTTGATTATATTTCTCTCCTCTTACAGAAATTTGGTTCAATAATTTAGTTTATCTCAAGAAATTATACAAAGAAACTACTCATTCTATCTTTATCTCTTTCCCAAGTTGGTATGAATTGTGTTACCAATTGATCTTTATCAAATATATAACTTTATTCCTAAGAATATGCTCTTTTCTTTCTAAGATTCGGATTGATTGTTCTATAAAGTTGACATCATCTTTTAATTATATAAGTTGGTAAAATATAACATAGGATATATCTCTAATATATCTTTGGAGCATAGAGACGTGGAAGCCATCTTAGATGTTATCCAAATCTAGGGGTAATGCCAACATGTATGTTATAGGTTTGATCTTATTTAAGATCTCAAATAAGCCAATGAATCTAGAAACTAACTTTCGTCTTGCAAACATGTTTAGTTTTCTCATAGAAATAATAAATTATGAGAATTTAATTACTGAGAGTTCTTGCATATTGGTGTTTGAATTGTTTGCTGTTATCTTTTTTTTGAGGGTCGATAATGTGATCCTCCATAGGTGCAATACTAAAATATTAATTTTAATCCTTTGCATGTTACACCATAGCTCGATTGAGCACTTAGTATATTTTAGTAGAATTAATAAGACTTTCTAATTGGTGGGCAAAGTCTCCTCTCCTTTAATATTCATTAAAGGCGAGAGAATTAGTTTTATTAGATTTTATTTTTATACAGAATCATAATATATTTTCATAAATATATCCAAAATCAATCAAATAAATAAGCATTAAATCATCCAATTGAAGCGTTGACCCGAAGGATTGTATGATGTCATAAGTTTTATTATTTAGATGGTTTAATTATTTCTTTAAACTCATGTCCGAATTTTCCCAGTCATCAAATTTTCTTCGACCACAATTACAAATACAAGCAACAAAACAAGACTTTTTCTGTTTTTGCTTATATATTTAGATCTATTTGTTCCATCTCTAATTTTGACTTGGTCTTCTCCCAAAACCAAGAGTTGCTTGCATCGTTCAATGTTCATCATCGCACAGGTGATTTCAACAACCAACTTAATCTTAACTCAACATAATTCGATCATATCTTACAAACAAGATTGCATAATTTATGCAACATCAGAAGGAATTCTTCTTCCTCCTCCTCCTACTAAGGAGACTTTATGACATGAACAGATCATTATAAGAAGACTTGCATCGAAAGGTACATAAACACAACTTGTCTTCAAAGTTGATGAAATCTTCGATCATTCGTTCATATACAAGCAATCTAATTCGCACCAGTGATGCATGAGAACATGCGGCTGCTCCCAAACCTCGTCTGCTTGGCCAAGCGGCCATGTCCGCCGCCAACCCTCTCGGGCGAGAAGTCCTCCAGCGAGCGGTGCCTCCTGTGGCCATTCTGGTCCTCATGGAAACTCCCGAGCTTGATCGGCGCCGGCCGGAGGAATCTCTGGGTGTTAGGGTCGCCAAACCACTGCGAAGAACCGGTCGAGAGGGACCGGTAGTACTTGCGAGCCTTTCTTCTCTTGATCGCCCTGTAGATGTATGGGATCAGCCCTTCCATTCTTTTCTCGGTTGGAAGAGTTTGAAGGTTCTGCCAAGCCTCTTATAAGGAGGGAGAAGAAAGCTGAGTTGACTTTGGTTCCTTCTCGAGTTAATCCGCATGCCACATTCGCTGGCAGAACAAGAAATTGCTGTCAGGATAAAGATGGAAATCTCCTGTCACCCACTGTCATTAGAAAAGATCATGAAGAAGATCAAACAATGCAACAGTCAATCACTTGGCGTATAATAATCACCAAGACGAGAAATGAGCTCTTGGAGTGTCGCTCTTGATGAAGCTTGCTTCATGCCGTCTCAACACTGCTGTTCTCATCATTGGTGGCTCGGGGTAGCGGGTTTCCATGGTCCTGAAGGGACAGAGCCGTGCATGAACAAGCCTCCTTGGTCACCTAACTCTTCACTGATCACCAACTCTGTTTCTTCAGACCCATGCCTCCCACATTGGAATTCCATGGAAGGTGCAATAAATTAGTCAAGCAAAGTGATCTAATCCTTTCCGATGTGGATTTCTTTCCACGCTCAGCTGAAAATAGAATGCAGACAGTAGCAGGTCTACAGATTAATCAGCCATCAGGTGGAAGAAGCTGACCACCTTATCACTCGAGTCAAAGAAGCTGAAAAGCGTGAGTCGAAACAAAGTGACCTGAAACAGATGCATCAGTCAAAATAAATGATCTCCTCCTTCAAGCCTGCTTGATGAAACTTCCAGTCACAAGTCTTTCATCTTAGTTTGTGTTTGCTTACATCTAAGCAGGTCAAGACAGTTTGCAGTATGAATTCAGCAACTGATGAATTCATGATATATCAGGTTGACATCAAACCTCCTTGGAAATTTCCAACCGTAGTTAATTTGCAAGTTGGATGTTTATTATGCAAACAAAGTAGATTTTGCACCTGGAGATGCTACAGATCTTGTTTATTCAAAGGATATCTTGATGGTACTGACTAAATTCAATGAGTACATGAACCTGGCACTAAAGCTATCCAGTTCAAGGAACAAGTTGACATGCTAGTTTCATATGGTAATTTAATTTCACCCACAGGAAGAGATAATGGTTTTTTGTTTTGGTCACTGGTTTCCTGAAAGCTCTTTGCTGTGGCTGTGGTTTTGCTGTCTTCTCTCTAGTAGAACTTTATTGGCAGTGACAGTGTTCACTGATCTATGTTTCACGTGGACTTTGATCCTGCAAGAAATTAAATTAAAAATGTTTAACTTAAAAAAAAAATATAAAAGCGTAATGATCAATTTATAATATAAATAAAAAAATATAAAATAAATATAAATCAGATTTTTATAGTGGTTCGATCATCCCTACCTACATCCACTCCTGATTTCTCTTCACTTGAGATCATCGATTTTTACTATCGATCTTCTTTCTAACGGTCAAAGATCATATACCCTTATAACTATTTGAAGAGAACTTTTACGCCTCTCTCTTTGACTTCATTATCCCCATAAAAATCTTCCAACTCTAAGAGTAAGAGATTTACAACACTTTTTTTCTGAAGTATATTTTGTCATAGATTTATAGAATAATTCTAAAATTATTTATTTTGCTGATGCAGAAATTGATCATAAGTAATTGCATCCACATGGGAAAACCCGGTCCAATTGGGGCATATTCCTTTCGACCGGTAAAGTATCATGCGGTTCATGGGATCAATGGTTCAGGACACGAATCACGATGAACTCGTTTCTGCGACGGTGCAATTGCTTTGTCTTCGCCCACGGCATTAGTCGTGACCTAAGTCGTGAAGATTTTAACGGAGCCGCGTTCTTGCCGGGGTTGCTAACGACGTGCAGAGCACGTGCCGAGATTGAGCTTACATGTGGAGCGAAAGCCACCGCGCTCCCCCCATCGCACCGCCGCGTGTGTCGCACCGCTGTTGACCTCTGCGTCGTCTCCGCGTGGTCATCATCAGGTACTGCTGGCACCCGATCTTCTTCTTCTTGCTCCCTCTAATTTCTCTCCAGTCGATCCTCGCCATCTCCATCCTCAGTCTGCCCAATCCGAGGCCAGAAAAGCAACAGATTGATCCCAGTTTTGCGTCTGTTCCTGATCTCGGTGCGTGATCGTTACTTGCCTTCTAGCGGTCTGTCAAATCTTTTGATCATCTCTTTCTTTCATCTGTTATTCTGGAATTAGGTAAAATATACTGACGATCGTCGGGCGTGTCGAACCGATCTTGAAGGTTCTGGATGATGTTACTCATCTCGTCATGCTTTTAGCTTCCAAGTGTTTCTTGGCGTCTGTTTTGGATGGATTTACCCTACCGATTTTGGATCTGAAAAGAAAATGAACTCATTTAAGTGTATCGTTTTGTTTCTCTATTTCTTTACGTTAGGATAAATGTTATTTTTATGATTTAGATCTAATAATCATCTGTCTTGAATTTAGTTTGTATTAGACGATCTTTTTCTTTATGTTTTAGGCATGGCATCCTCTGATGACCCAAGAGTTGTCGAAAGAGAAGCCAAGGAGAAAAAGCACGAGAAAGATGAGGGGCATGAAGAAAAAGGGGGTTTTTTCGACAAAGTGAAGGACTTCATTGAGGATGTTGGTGAGAAAATTGAGGAGGCGATAGGCTTCGGGAAGCCAACTGCCGATGTTGCTGCCGTCCATCTACCATGCATCAATCTGGAGAAGGCAGAGATTGTCGTTGATGTGCTGATCACGAACCCTAATCCCATCCCGATTCCCCTCATTGATATCAATTACTTGATCGAAAGTGATGGGAGGAAGCTGGTGTCTGGACTGATCCCTGATGCTGGTACGATACATGCGCATGGCTCTGAGACTGTCAAGATTCCGGTGACGTTAATATACGATGACATCAAGAGCACTTACCATGATATCAAGCCTGGAAGCATCATCCCTTACAGAGTCAAGGTTGATCTCATCGTGGATGTGCCGATTTTTGGGAGGATCACCCTGCCTCTGGAGAAGACTGGTGAGATTCCAGTACCATACAAGCCGGACATTGATGTTGAAAAGGTACACTTCGATAAGTTCTCCTTTGAGGAGACAATGGCATCCCTGCACCTGAAGTTAGACAACAAGAACGACTTCGACCTGGGGCTCAATTCACTGGATTATGAATTTTGGCTCGCTGATATCAGCATTGCAAGTGCAGAGCTAAACAAATCGACAACGATTGAAAAGAATGGAACTACAACAATGGAGATTCCTTTCTCTTTTAGGCCAAAAGACTTCGGCTCTGCTCTTTGGGATATGATTAGAGGAAGGGGTACTGGTTATTCTATGAAAGGAAACATCGATGTAAACACTCCATTTGGACACATGAAGTTGCCAATCAGCAAAGAGGGTGGAAGCACTCGCCTTAAGAAGGGAGATGATGATGATGGCGAGGTAAGTTAGCTTAGTTGTCATCCTTTTCCCCTTAAAAGACACTTATATGCGTATGTGTGACTAATTTCATCGATGGACTGCATCTGCTTGTTGATTTTGTTAGACATATACATGTTAGTGCTAAAATATCACTAGCCGTTGATGAGTAGTACTTATGTGAACTGTCAACATGAAAATAGTTGTCATGTTTTGAATGCTTCTTCCTGGACATTTTTTGTTGTTTGGTGCAAATCCTGTTGAGAGCTGTCTGTGCACTAGCTGACATAGGCAAAAAGAGAGAAAGAATTCTAGCAGTTAATGTTAGAAAATTTACAACCTTGTGTAGTAAAGCGTCTTGCGTGATATCTTCAAGATGACATATATAATTGGTAATAGATTTCAAGGACATGAGTAAAACACTTACATTACAGAAGCTTTACATCTGAACTGACTTCTTGTGTTTGTTGGTTTGAAAATTTTGTTAAAGATAGACCAACCAAAAAAGATGAAACACTGAGATATATAATTAATGAAGAATGACACTCATCTAGGTGTGACAAAAAGGATATGAGATCAAATGCTAGTATTTTTTGTCTTTCATTTTTGTTCTCTAAGACACATTCACTATAAATACCATAACAGATTTAGCAGTTTAGGTTTTGCGGGACACCTTAGTTTGTTAGTACATGCATCAACCAAGATCTGAAAATGATAGCTTTTTGAAGTGGCTATATAGAATTTGTCCTCAAGACAAGTGGAATGTTTGTGAGGATGGTATTTAGCTGATACTTATCCAACATTACAACGCGCAAGGATATGGATTCTTATAGTTAGATAAGATCATGCGAACCAGAGAAAACTTCAAACTTCATGGCTTACAACTAATGCAGATTATTTGTGTACTAAATCTTTTCTGTGTCAACAACTGATGTTCCTCTTGCTAGAGATTGCTTTCCATAGAAGATAATTCATTATCAGATGGTGCTTCTGATCCTTGGCTTCTTCCTTAGGGAACAACTAAATTTCTAAAATGAACAGAAACAGATGGCATCTTTTACCAAAACATCAGTTCTGCAAGTCCATGCATCGTCTCCTTGTTTGACTGGCTGATTTGTTGCTAACCTTCCTGTTATACCTTTATGCAGGATTAGAGCAGAGGTGTGGAAGATTTGCAGTTCAGATGAATTGAGATGTGAAAGTAGATCAATATATAGCTGTATTTCCGGCGATATATGAGTTCTGTAAAAATCATGTCCCTTGTCTTGTCCTGTTCTGGTATTTCAACCCACTTCAGGGATGGTATTTTGGCCCTTATCCCTGTCAAGAACTGCTGTTTATTAGCTAATAAGCTGCTCATATATAGTCTGCTCCTACTTTTTGCTCAGACTGGGCTTTACGGAGTTTGTAGCATGCATAAGCTGTTGTGTAATGTTTACCCACATATATATAAAATGTTTACCCACATATATAGTAAATACATTGAGAGGAAGAGAGTCATAGATATAATGTGATTTCTTTGTCGATTATAAAATATTAAGTATATTAATGAGAGAATATTCGCTAGATATCATGCATTTAGCACATCCACAATTTTTAACTGATGAAAGTTTCATGTGTCAAATATCGATCGCCACAAATAACAGTCATAAAACAAAGATCAGTCGTATAGAAACACCATCTCCCTCATTTTCTCTTAAAAGAAATTAGTCGGGGCCAAAAAATGTTCCAAGATTCGTGACCGGTGATGCATCGGACGGATGGCTCCACGTAGGATCTAATGGCGTGACCGAGCCGGCTAACGATTGGTGCTCTCGTGTCACCCGCTTCGCGTGGAAAGATGTGGCTTCGTTCCCTGCTTGCAAACCTACACGTGCAATAGCAACGCGACCAGCAGGCTCGATTGCAGGCTGCCACGCAACGGGCTCCACAGCCAGGTCAAGTTACAGTGGAGGTAGATGGGACGGGTAGATAAAACCAGGTAACCGGGTCTCTGGTCTTACTTAAACAGAGAGCTCAAAACCAGATCACTAGTCACCTCCCCTAACCGGTAACTTGACCGGCCGACGTTGCACATTGTAACGGAGCAACGCTTCGAGTACTCCATTCTTAACCAGGTTCGTTTTCCCTGCCACAAATTAAGTCCGATCTGGGATTTCCTTCAATCAAAAGAAAGGTAAACGAACGTGTCGGTGATTGAAGGATTGCGACCATTATATATCTTCCGCTGGAAGACAATAGTAACAGAAATGGAGCTCCGAACCGCACCCAACTAATATTAATACCAAAACCCCCAACCAAACACAAAACTCTCTCCCTCTCTCCTC